GGAAGATCATGCGCGGGATCGCGCAGGTGAAGGACCTGCTACAGGCCCAGAGCTTCCCGAGTTTGGAAGACGGGGCGTACGTCCCCGCGGGCTTCACGCGCGGGCTGGACAGGCCCCTCCTGCTGGGGCCCGTGGACTTCCAGGCGGTCCTCCAGGCCCACGCCCAGCACCACGCCTCGGTGTGCGAAGTGTTTGAAAGCATCTGTGGAAACAAGAAAAGTGAACAGAAGGCCCCAGACACGGGCGTCTGCATCACGGCACTGAGCACGGACACACGGGGCACGGACTCCGTGAGTGCGGAGGGTGGGCCGTGTCTCCAAACAGGCGGGGGACTGTCCCCCTCGCAGGCGGTTACAAGGAGTCTGGAGGCGCCCCAGCGGGCGGGGAGGAGGGACTGGATCCATTCGGATGCATTCCACGTCTCCCTGGGCCCAGACGTGGAGACCGAGGCCGCGTTTCGAGGCCACGGCGGCGGGGACGCTGCTCTGAGTTGCAGCGGGAGCTCCAGTCCCTGGAGCAGGCTGTCCGGGCGCAGCTCCTCCTCCAGCTGGGAGGAGGTGGACGCCCACGTGGACAGCAGGTCACCCTGCCGAGCGCCCGGCAGGGAAGGCCCTGTGGACACTCGGGGGCCCGCTGCTGGGGCGGGAGAGCCGGGCAGCCGTGGGGACAGAGCAGCTGTGCGTGCTCTGTCTTCGGAGCTTCGAGGCCTCTCTTTCCCGATGCGCGAGGATGGCCCTTCCAGGTCCTCTCCGAATCACATGCCCTCGGCCGCCTGCCCTCCTGGGAGCACCACGGGCGCTCACGTGGCCCGGCTGGCGGAGGGAGGCCCAGAGGCAAGGCAGGCAGGCAGAGCCACGGGTCCCGGAGGCACCTCCGCCCACCCCGGGCCCTCGCTGGGGTCTGTGTCTGGGTCTTCTGGTTCCCGTGGGTCCCAGAGTGCGGCCCCACGGCCTTCATTCCAAGCAGAAGAGACCTTGGAGATAACGGACGAGTTTCCAGCGGTCGGTGGCGATGCCGCACACGGGTCTGGAGAGGAGCCAGGAGCAGGACGCCCACTAGGAGCAGGCCCTGCGTTTAAAGGGAGTCCCTCCAGGGGGACCCCAGAAGAAGCCGTCGAATCCCATGGAGTCCTGGGCGATTCTCTGGGCGCAAGCCCCGCGATGGCGATGGCACGTCACCCTGCCATGTCGCCGTGGCCCATTCAATACCCCGAGTCAGGACACAGCGGGGGCCCCGTCCAAGAGGAGGAGGTGGACCCCGATGCCTCCACCGTGGACGAGGGGGGACAGCTGCTGGACCCCACCGGGCCACGGGGCTGCCCCAGGCCGTGCGCTCCGAGGCCGCCCCCTGCCTCCGGGAGCCAGGAGGCCTGCACCAGCACGGAGGAGGGGAACCAGCCCGTCCAGCTCAGCCTCAGTGGCAGCGACAGCGGCAGCTCTGGCTCCTCCTGGGGGAGCTGGTGGAGGCTGCCCACTGCGTCCAGGGGGTCCTCCGAGGGGGGCGAGCCCTGGTCCTTCCTGAACTCCAGCGGGAGTTCCTTCGGGTCGTTGGCGGGAGAGACGCGGCAGGAGACGCTCGAGGCTCGCACACTGCAGCCCCACGACCTGGAACAGCTCCTGGCCGGCGTGACGCATGACTGGCTGCTCCAGAGGCTGGAGGGCACAGGGGTGTTCAGGCCCAGCCGCCTGCACCAGGCGTACGGTAAGTACACAGCCTGCGGCAGGTGCAAAGCCTGGGGGTGGGTGCATGGCCTGGAAGGTGGGTGCATGGCCTAGGAGGTGGGTGCAAGGTCTGGGAGGTGGGTGCATGGCCTGGGAGGTGGGTGCAAGGCCTGGGAGGTGGGTGCATGGCCTGGGAGGTGGGTACATGGCATGGAAGGTGGGTGCATGGCCTGGGAGGTGGGTGCATGGCCTGGGAGGTGGGTGCATGGCCTGGGAGGTGAGTACATGGCCTGGGAGGTGGGTACATGGCCTAGGAGGTGGGTGCATGGTCCCAGAGGTGGGTGCCTGGCCAGGAGGCAGAGGCACCCTTGCAGAGCTGTGACCACACTTGAAGCTCAGGAGACAGAGGCCCCATCCTGCTCTGTGAGTGCCCTGCATGCAATGTGTCTGGCAGGGCCTCCCTGCCTTGGGCGGCTGGGCTCTAAGGTTCCCAGGATTAGACGCCCCCTCGGGCCACCTCGTGTTGGGGACTCGCTGTAGGACACACGGGGCCATCGGGAGGCAGGAACCCCAGGGTCCGTGTTCCCCTTTCATTTTATAAATGCATTTTTATTGGTTTCAGAGAGGAAGGGAAAGACAGATAGAAACATCAACAATGAGAGCAAATCATTGGCCACCTCCTGCACGCCCCCTACTGGGCGTCGAGCCCACAACCTGGGCATGTGCCCTTGGCCAGGAATTGAACCCGGGACCCATGAGTCCGCAGGCCGACGCTCTACCCACTGAGTCAAACCAGCTGGGGCCATAGCCCCCTCTCGTTCTCATGAGCAGCCAGCTGACTCCTCTCAGCATCACTCCACTCAGCTTCCAGGGCACAGGTTTTGCCTAGTTAGACATCCTGCGCTGGAGCTGTTGTTTCCTCACAAATTGGGCCATCTTTGGAGGGAGGAAGTTAGTCTTTATCTGGCCGGCGTGGCTCAGGGGTTGAGCGGTGACAGTACCGAGACTGGGGAGGGGTGCGATTCCCGGTCAGGGCACAAGCCCGGGTTGCAGGCCCGATCCCCAGTGAGGGGCGTGCAGGAGGCAGCCAGTCCATGATTCTCTCTCATCATTGACGTTTCCCTCTCTCTCCCTCCCTCTCCCTTCCTCTCTGAAATCAATAAAAAAATATATTTTTAAAAACCCAACAAACTGCTACAAAGGGCATTTTAGGAGAAAACATGTGAGCTGCTAGCAGTGGATTCTTGAGTGGCTCTCAGCCTTGGCACCCCCGGGAACCCCTGGGGCTCGGCCCTAAACTTCCGAGGCCTCACCCCAGATTCCAATCCCATAGGCCGGGGCGTGGATCCAGGAATCAGCATGGTTTTCATTCCCCCAGTTTTATTGGGGGGTCACAGACACCCATCACTGTCTGAGTTGGAGGCGGGCAGCATGGCAGCCTGCTCCTGTGTTTGGTGACATGATCACCATGGGCTCACTCACTCCGCCCTCTCACGCAGACACAATAGATGGGAAAGAAAGACAAAATACAGAAGAAAACACTTCCTCCTTGTGATGAGAACCCGAGGGCTTCCTCTCCAAGCAGCTGCCCTGTGTGCCCGCAGCGGGGCCAGTGTCCGAGGACTGGCCCCTATCACACTGATCCTGCACCTCTGGCCGTCTCCCTCCAGCCCCCACTCCCCCACTGGGAACCACTGTCTGACCTCCTTTTAAATTCCACGTAAAGGTGACATCACACAGTGTCCCAAAATCCTGCATTTCTCCCTCAAAGGGGCGCTTTCCTGCTGGCGCTGCTCTTCATTCTTTAAATATGGATAGATAGATGATAGATAGATGATAGATAGATAGATGATAGATAGATAGATAGATGATAGATAGATAGATAGATGATAGATAGATAGATAGATAGATAGATTATTGACTTCAGACAGGAAGAGAGAGGGATAGAAATATCAATAATGAGAGAGAGAATCACTGATCTGCTGCCTCCTGCACACCCCACATGAGATGGACCCCAAAACCCGGGCCTGTGCCCTGACCGGGAATCAAACCGTGACCTCCTTGTTCATAGGTCGATGCTCAACCACTGAGCCACACTGGCCGGGCTGTTTTTCATTCTTTAAGGTGAAGACGGTCCTTACTTTTTTCATATCTTTCCCTTTTCCAGGTGAGTTCATATCGTTGTACAGTAGCTATATTTTCTCAAGTAATGGTTGTGCTTTTCCAAATTAAGCAAAACAAGGAAGAGAAGATGAGGGGGTGCTTTAACACGCAATCGAGGGGCCCTGGAATGCCAGGGACCTCTGAGGTAAGACATTGATGTACTTCTGTCCATAGCACCTGGCGTAGGTAGGAGCCCATTACCTGGAGGTCTCAGGTCATCAGAAGAAGGCCAAGCCTGTAGCACATATTCCAGGATGTCTCTGAGGCATCTCAGTTTAGACCGGCTGGCGTGGCTCAGTGGTTGAACATCGACCTAGGAACCAGGAGGTCATGGTTCAGTTCCCGGTCAGGGCACATCGCTGAGTTTCGGGCTTGATCCTTCGTAGAGGGCGTGCAGGCAGCAGCCGATCAATAATTCTCTCTCATCACTGATGTTTCTCTCCCTCCCTCTTCCTTCCTTTCTGAAATCAATAAAAATACATTTAAAAATAAATAAATAGCCTTTATTCTCCTCTCCCTCCGCCCTGAAACCCTGGCCGTACCCTCACGTTGCCGCCACAAACAAGATTCTGTGAATCAAAGGCTAGTCTTTGTCTTATTTGTGAAGCTCTGCTTGTCTGTTGCTCTTCAATAACTTTTTCTTCGTCTCCATGGAAGCGGCTACCCTTTGAGAAACGTATACAGACGCTGAAGACGTCAGATCAGCTGGACTGGGCCCCGAGCCCCTTCCACTGTGTCCGTAACTGTGCCATCCTAGGAAAATCAGATCCGCTTTCGTCTGCTCTTCCTTTCACAGATGCTCTTTTGTTGAAATATTCCAAGAAGTCGGAGCTGTGGACGGCCCAGGAGACTGCTGTGTACCTGGGGGACTACCTGGAGGTGACGAAGAAGGGCAGACAGAGAAACGCCTTTTGGGTTCATTATCTCCATCAAGAAGAAACGCTGGGAAGGTAGTGACCGCAGACATCGCCATCACTCATGTGAGAAGGGCTGCTCGGCCCGGCCGGCGGGGCTCAGTGGTTGGGCGTCGACTATGGCCCAGGAGGTCAGGGCACCTGCCCAGGTTGCAGGCTCGATCCCCAGTGTGGGGCGTGCAGGAGGCAGCTGATCAGTGATTCTCTCTCATCATCGATGTCTCTCTCTCTCTCCCTCTTCCTTCCTCTCTGAAATCAATAAAAATATTCATTTTTTAAACCTCCTTGAGCGAGGATTTAAAAGGAATGTTTAAATGCTGGTAAAAAGCCCGGTTCAGCTCTGAAAGCCACACTCTGAGTAAACGAATGAGCCGGGGGAAAGGCAGGAGAGCCGTCTCAGGCCGGAGATGAGGCCGCCCAGGCGAGGGCCTGAGCATGGAGCCTGGGCGC